CCCCTAGTGTAGCTCGCACAGAACATCCTGGAATGCAGCTGGGAGGAGGAGGAGACCCGCCTGCTATTTTACCAAGGCACGTCAGAACCTGTGCCAGCTCTCCACCCCCTCCGCCGCCGCCACCACCACCACCACCACCACCTCCTCTGCCTCCATCAAGTCTCTCAATGAACACCAGCTACAGTGTGTCAAAGCAAGAGCCAGTTGTCCCTCTTAGACAGAACCATGTCCAGATGACTTCTCAAGGGTTCCATCAGTGTGACGCCAACTCCAATAGTCTGAGACGGGGAAGGGAACTTAGAAGAAGTTCCAGTAGTATAACTACTGGCTCTGGAAGTATTGAAGCACTCTTTGAAAAAACAAGGACACCATCAGTGGGAAGAATCCAGCAGGGGAATTTCCAACCAACTGAGCCACAACTGCAGAGAAGACCTACCAAAAAGAAGCTATCAAAAAGCTATTCTCAAGGTTCCATGGCTTCCCAGACAAACTGTTGGTCTATGGGCAGTAGGGACAGCAGGAGAGCCTCAATCATGCTTCCACTACAGAAGGATGGCAAGCAGATGAAAAACACCCAGAAGCTGGATTCCAGTCCCTGGAGATGCAACGGTCCATTCAGTTATTGCTTCTTTAAAAGGAAAAACCAGACAGAGGATGATGATGGAGATGTAGAAGGCTTAAGAAGGCACCGTGGTGACTTAGATGAAGCTGGTCCTTCCCAGTATAACCTCAACCCTGTCCTGGACAGTACAGGAGAGCAGCTATATGGTGAAGTTCTGAACAACATGAGCTTTGGAGACAGACTGGCCCGTATAAATGCACTGAAAGACCGCATGTATGTCTTCCCTGCTGGTTTCTCTGATGTTAGGAGAGACGCATCTGAACTGATTGCTCTGGTGCGCTCCAGTGTGGGCAGAGGCGACAGAGGTACCCCACCTATGCAGGCGCAAGAGCTGGCCCAATTTAAGCAGCTGCTAGCAATCGAGTCTAAAGAACTTGGTCGAGCGTGCCGGAGGATGGCGCAAGCACACGGGAGCCCAGAGGAGATGCTGTTGGCGGTCACTTGCAGTTTCCAGGTGCTTTGCTGCTTATCTGAGGTCTGCATGTGCTTGGTCCGTGGCCTGGGAGTGTCAGCCACCCAGCAGCAGCGTGAGGTTGTTGCCAAGATTGATGAGGTTGTCATGAACTATATCTGCCTGCTCCGTGCAGCAGAGGCAGCCTCAGGCAGCCCCCCTGGGGACCACAGCGTTAAAGCACTTGCTCGCCACTCCAGCACCATGTCAGCTATCGCCAACACTCTCACACGCTCCCTTAAAACACTGCTCAGCAAGTAGGCCTCATCTGGTGTTCCTGAGTCAGTCTGTTATTTGCAAAGCCATACATGGACACCTGGGTTGAGTGAACAACCCAAAATAATCTACTGTAATGAATAATCCTGTGGTGTGCATATTTATTTTATATGTAATACTGTACATACATATACATTTTAAATATATATATATAAAGCTATAGAACTTTTAAATGAGCTTTAAAAGATTATTCATCTAATCTAAATATCTTAAAATGCTGTACTGTCACATGTCGCAGTTTAAAAATAGGGGCTCAGACTAGATGGCTTTATTAAAGAGTTGTAAGACTCAGCGTTTAAAATGGCTTCTTATTGCAATTTATTTGTGTTTTTTTATTGATCATATGTATAATGAGATCAATATCACACTAAAACATACAATATTTATTTATTTAATAGTTTCCAAAGAAAGAACCCTTTGTTTTTTTTTTCAAAAAGAATAAGTAATAAGAATTTTGATTCTATTTTCTTTGCATTTTTGACATTTGTTGGTCATGCCTCGTTTAGACAAAGCCTCTTTGTGTTTTACAGACCACAATACCAAACTCACCATTATAATATAAAATTATCCACTTAATTACAATGATTCTTTTAAATTTTCTTCCGGAATTCACAAAAAATCAATAAAGAATTTCAAAGAGTTGCAAAAAGGCGATCTGTGGTATGGATTCACTGACTGATTCAATGATTATTTGGACGCGGGTCCATATTCTTGTCTGTAAATGTTTGATCTACTAACCGATTCAGTATTCTAGAGGGAAAAAAACACAATTTTTAGCCCTATTTCCAAATACACAGACTTTCAACTTTGTTTTAAAAGTATTTTCACAGATTCTCACAAGGCAAGCACTGTTAACTGTAGGTGTATTTGCCCAATGAAGTCATTGAGAATAAGTACTTCAAAGAAATGCTTTATTCAGGCTTGATATGTCTTTGGCCCATAAACACTGTTTATATAAGGCAGAACCACAAGCAGCACAGTAAAGTTCAGTTTTAGAGAAGCAGGAGCTGGAAGACTCTCACGTGATCATCACTAACTAATGAGAGAGGATTGGAGGGTAACATCTATTTACAAAGGCTCTATAGTTTGCACAAATCATTTGAGGTCTCAGCTGATTTCCCTCACCACAGAAAATCAAGTTAGGCTCCTCAACTCTGGATGCAACTGTACCCATCTTCTAATTGTAATAAAACTGATGTGAGTGAAACCATTACTTGACCTTCTCATTCTCTGATGACTAATATTTATTGATACTCAGCAGCTGAAGAACAGAAAAGAACGTAAGTATTGAAGTATGGTGTTGAATGGTATGGTTTCTCATGCACCACAAGAAAATCCAAAGAAGAGTGAACCACATGAGGGACATAATCTATTTTCTTTGGCTGTTTCATAATCATCATGGAAAAGCATGTGTTTGGACTGTTTAGACTACAATACCTTACAAGAATATCAGAAATATTTCTTCATATTTAAATAATGATCACAATTCATACACGTTTGTAATATTTAATTATACAATATTTGGCTACATTGTATAAGTTATTACTGTATATAAACTAACAAATATTGTCATTATGGTAAGTCTTTCTCAAACAGTACTATATCCAAAAAAAATTGATATAAATTTAAACATCAGTGCTATATTATACCACCTTTATTAGATAAATATAAATGTGTTGTTTGACACAAAGTGTGTTACATGTCTTTACATGTTTTTTTTTATTTGTCTTATGATGCTTAAAAATATATACACAGTGGAATCATCAACACATAAAAATACTAAAAAATGCGATTTAATACAATTTCTAAAGCATTTTATGGGTCCAAACACCACTTATGTGCATGTCCCACAACTGTGGTCTCAGTGTTTAGATACATAAAAAGAGTTAATTCAATTGCAATATGACATTATTTCAATTTATATTGTTTCAAATGAATATTACTTTACACCATGTTAAAATACTTTTTCATTACTCATCATTTATATGATTTTTCATCTTGCGCCTGTCCCACACTTTTTAATCCTTACTGCAGCACTGAACAAATGCCATAGTAGATCTTTTTTTCAAAGACAAACAAATGTAGTTTTTGAGGAAACAGAAGTTAGCAAGTGAGCACACGGTGCACATACGCTCACCACCCACACTGAGTCAAAATCCAGAAAAACAAGGTAAGGACCATCTTTCCTTCTGAAGTATTTATTGTGTCCTTACCATACAGCTTAGTCATTGTGTATTTTGAGTTACATTTTAAAAATAAATGAATATTCCTTTTGAATTCACGCGTGTTAGATGCTAAAAGTCAACACTAACATAGCAGACCTTGCTAGCTGGCATTTACCTGCAATATTAGTAGAAATGTCATTCTGCAACATATCTTTACCACAGCACCTTTAGGTGTCATGGTGAACTTGTGTCACGGCAGAGACAAATTCAATGATGTGATTTAATATAACAGCTCTGCTATGAATTCTACTTTCAGTTCTCAGTTTTTTCTCTGTCAAGTGATGTACAAGGTAATAATTCTACTTTATGTTTATAATTATGGTCACAGTGGGTGGTGGTGTTGTACTGGAGTACATTATACTGAAAGGTGTTTCTAATATTCTGCCCTTCTCATGTATGTGAAAGGGGTGGGCAAAATATTAGGAACAACTCCCTAATATATTGCAGTCCAACTCAACACCACTGTAAATTACTAAATCAACAAGAAAGATGTAGTTAAATTAATACCCCTCTGACAGTGTCAACCAAAACTAAACATTATTATATTCATAAAGGCAGAATTTATGGCAGAGCTGTTGTATCGTATCACATTAGACTGTGCAAGTATAAAGCAGTCGGTGAGTTATATTATGTTGCAGATTTTGTAAACTAAACATAAACATGCCACATTTGCAACCCTAGATGAAGCCAAATTCATCCACAATCAGATGACAGAAGTGCAGAGAAAAAATGAGAAAAGACGAGTGTGGAAGAAACTCTCTGTTGTCGCTCTTGTTTTAATTAACTGTACATGTACCAAAAGCCTCAAAACTGTAGTGAGTTTACTCCTCAGGCTGAAGTGAGAAATAGTTGGACAAGCATGTTACAACAGAAGAACCCTTTTCAAAAAGGTTCTATATGGAACCATCTACAGTACGTTCTCCATCAATCTGAAGAACACTTTCACAATGCAAAGAACGCTTTAATCATGCAAAGGATTCTTGGAGTGTTCATGGTTCTATATAGAACCATAATTTTCAAGCGTGTACAGTAGCCTATTGTCAAGGTTATATTATTAACTTTTACCATTAACATGTATCATTTTCTACTATTAATAGTAGTAGAAGGCCTAATGTATGATCTGAAGATGACCTTGTTGCTGGTGATGCTGCTGCTGATAATCAGGTTCTTTGATGGACTCTACATGTACCTGCCATCCACCGGCAGTATAAAGCTGATTCAGACCCAGTTAGCATAACACATAAAACCGTCGTTTATATGAACACAGTTCAGTGGTTTTAAAAGCTCACTGTAAGCAGATTTAGATTCAGTTACTTTAACAGTCCACTCAGCCGCGCGCTCACTCGGTACCAGCCTCCCCTCATTCATCCAACCACATGCACACGAGCTCTTCCGCCCCCCCTTTCCTTTTTGGAATGACGGACGTCCTCGTCATTTCCTCTTTGCCCGGCTCCCTCGCTCCGTGCTGGTGTAGGATGCAGAGCTGCTGCTGATTCAGTTCTCTTTAATCTGTTTACCTCCTTTTTCGCTGGAGGAGCGATTCTGTGTCCCCCACAGCGCGCTTTCCCCTTTCTCGCCCGTGCACTCACCCGGAGCAGGCGCGTCGCTGTGCCGCAGCAGCCATGCCCAACATCGTGCTCTTCAGCGGGAGCTCTCACCACGATCTGTCCCAGAAAGTGGCGGACCGCCTCGGACTCGACCTGGGGAAAGTGATCACAAAGAAGTTCAGCAACCAGGAGACCTGGTGAGTCCCGCTTCTTTTGGTTTTGCAGTCTTTAACTTGTCTGAATCGGGTAAAAATCGGAGGGCTCAGGTTTTAGCTCGCTGTCTTGGTAACGAACCTGAAGTTCGAACGTTTCCGTTCCACCTTAAATGGTGCAGCAGTTACATTATGGCGCCAGAATATAACTGCTGCACCATTTAAGGTGGAACGGAAACATTCGAACAAGAACTTGAAATCAGCTTCCTGTCTTTTAACATGTAGCGGTAGTAACTGCTCTGCCCGCCCGCCCACATGTTCATGTTTCTTGTGTTTACAGCCGTTAGCCGTCTCGCTAGCTAACCTAAGCTACCTTGTAAGTTTGCCGCTCTCCAGTGAGCGATTTCGACGACGTCTCTGAGATTTTTTTGTCCCTCTGAGCACATTCAGTTCATGAAAATCCAACCAGATAGTTAGGTAACGCTAGATAACCGTTACATCGATATTGTACAAGTGCTTCAGGATCGCCCTGGCTTCATGTTTACCACATAACGTTAGCCTGTCAACTTCAGCCTGCAAGGTAACCTATCAGCATCAGGCTAAATAACATTAGCATATCAACACCATACCACCACAGAGCCTCTCAGAATACCCATATATGACTGTATAGCTTATTAATATCAGACAGCCTATAATAATACCCAGATTTATTACCATAGCCTGTCAGGGTCTGGTAGGAGTCAGTCAGCACCAGCCAAAATGAGGCCCGTTAGAATTACATTGCCATATAATCTGTGCAGGTTGGTTAACAGTCTATCAACATACTATATATCCTGTCAGTATCAGCACAGCATATAGCCTGTCAATATGGGCATGCCAGTCTTACGATGCCGTATAGCAGTGATCACCAACCCTTCTCCTGGAGATCCACTTCACTGTAAGAGTTATTACCAGTCTTCATCTAACATGCTGCCCCTCGTCACATCTACACTAACGCATCTGATACAGCCAATCAGTGACCCCTGAAGGAAATAATCAGCTGGAGCAAAAGTAGCAGATTGTGGTTTGAACAGGAAGGTAGATCTTTTGGGCCAGGGTTGATGACCACTGCCACATCTCAACTCATTAGCATAATTTATAACCTGTCAGCAACAGGCTGCTATGAAGCCTGTCAATGTCAGGCTACACTATAGCCCAGGGGTGCCCAAACATTTTGTCTGGAGAGGCCAAAGTGCAATGTGTGGTGGGCCATGGACCCAAAGGAGTATACAAATAAAGAAGATAGGCGGGTTTCAGACTTTTTAAAAAATGTCTTTTATAGCATTACTACATATTTGTTACTGCTATACTTCAAAAACATAATTTTGTATAGATTGTATAATGTTGTATAGGGTAAACGTTTATTCTCTTATTTGTTGAGGGTTAGGAAAAATTATAGTTTGACAAATCAAATGTCCTCAAGGTCCACACATTGAGCAGCTTTGATATAGCTTATCAGCTTCAGGATAGCTTGTAGCCTATCAGCATGAGGTTGCCATGTAGCCTCCAGGTTGCCAAACGGTCTGTCAACATTGGGATACTGTCCTGCTTATTCACATACTACACAATCTGTTGACATCAGGCTACCGTATAGCCTTATCAGTATACCATGATACCTTTATGCAACATGACTTGGGTAAGTTTGATTGGCATCACAAAATGCAGTGGCCTCTTGAAGTGCAGTTTAATTATTGAGTGTGCACCCCTGTAAGCTTTGGCAACAAACATGAGAAAGTATTTTGGAGGCTCTGTTGGCACTAACTAAAACTATTTCCAATCACTCTAAAACAGTCATTCTTAGCCTGGATATAAAACGGTTATATTATATATATATTTAAGTACAAAAAAAGTAGGCAGTTTTATTACCACAGGTTATTTTGTGTGCTTTTAGGTTAGTCTTTAGCCTGTGAGGCCTGTTCAGCAAGCCTGACCCAATTACATTTCCCTCAGTATGACGCAATAACCGTTATCTCGTGAACCACAATATAGTGTAGCCTGGTATAGCCTTACTGACCCTCTCTAGTAGTTCAGAAATGAATGTGGTATGCTTTCGTACTCTTTTCACTGGTTTTCCACTGGTTTCCTGTTTTTTTCCATAATACATAATTGAAGACTTATGAATTGAAAAAGGTCTACCCTGTTTTAGTAACGTTGTATCTAAATATAACTAGAGATGCATTGATCATGAATCAATATGGCTGATAGGCTTTGTGGTGTGGTCTGACCAATTTATCTGTTTATCAATAACATTGACCCGTATTGAGGTCTCATAGACTTATAATTACTGTTAAAACTCCCTCCAAAAAAGCAAATATAATCTGTGGCCTTTTTAACTGAAGCAAACTGTAAGAAAACTGCCAGCTTGTGAGAAGTTAAGACTTTTTTTTGCTTCCAGCACCAGTTCCATCACAGCAATATAGGATGTTAAAATTACAAAAACATGTAAAAAAACATCCAAACCTTAGCACAAGGATTACAAAACAGTAATGCAAAAAAAAACTTCTTCTCTGATGTTCTGATGAAAAATAAGAGGTAAATAATGCAAACCAGACTGGCAAAAAATTCTGGCTTGTTTAGCTCCGTGCTATATCATTTATATTATTTAAAGGAGAATGACACCAATTTTTCACAATTTCTCCATAATTCAATCATGAGATGAATTTTGGTTTAATGTGAAGTGATTCATTGTAGAGAAACCTACTAACTCTTTACAGTGGAGGTGACAGGAACCAGGAGTTGAAATGTTTACAACACAAATATAGCCATTTTATTTATTATGAAAATAACCAGTGAACCTACATCTGTCTGCTGAGGTGTAATGTTTATGATGATAAACAGTAAATATAAAACCTCTGAGTACCTTTGCAAACTATCATAACACAACGTCTCAGGCATTAGGCAGTGTTTTCGTAGTCCTTTCATGTAATAACTCTCTGTGAGTGAGCTTTAAAGTATTAAAAAGCTTCAGATGTCTGGTTCCTATCACCACCACTGTGAGCAATTTTGACATGGCAAACAATTAAATTATGTGAAAATGGTGAAAAATCACTGGAATTATCCTTTAAGATTGTCATATTTTTAATTTACATTTGACAGGCAAATCAGTCAGTAAGGACTGTTTATTAGTTGTTTTGACTGCTGCTTTTAGTTAGACCACCCTGTGGAAGGGCCTGATCACTATTCCAATGAGTAACTTAAGGCTGAGTGACTTACAAATCCTGAGAGCCAGCAGTGTTGGCTGAGCCTCTGAAAGAACTCCGTATTAGCCACAGTTGGGAATGGTGTGGGTCTCGTGCTTTTCGCTCACATGTGGAGTACGGTGTCCCGTGTCCCTCCTAATTGATTGGCCTCAGACCCTCTTGTGCTTGGACAGCTGAGGCGATTTTTTTTTTTTCCTCCTGTCCAATCACATGATGTGAGTAGAGAGAGATGAACAGGAGAGAAAGGATCTTATCTAAAGAATTTGTCATATAAGCGTCATTTTTTTTTTTTTCTTGTCATGAGTCCTTTAAAAGGGACCTATCATGCTTTTCTGTCCCTTTCCAAAGCCCAAAGTACATGCCAGAGGGATTAACTCTCTCCCACAGAGACCACATTTCTCAGCTGCCTGAAACACCTCATTGGAATTCAAGCCTTTTTCCTTTGTTACAAAATGATGCAATCTTGTAACACAATCTTTATTACCTGCTTACCAGCAAGCTTGGCAGGACCTTACACAAGAGCTATAAAGTAAAAACATACCCCTGTGAAGCGTCCTGCTCTAGTCTAGCTTGCGAAGGTGAATCAGGTCTGCCAACTTGTTCTGTTTGACTTTCGTGATCGGGCTCTGGCTCAAACCTATACGACAGAATTGACGTTATTGTAAGAATAGCCACAGCAGTGTAGCGGCGGAACTGCATTAGCCAGCACCTGCTGGATGGGGGGAGGGGAAACATTTCAAACAGCTTATCTTCAGATATCCTCCCCAAAGTGCTTGTAATTAAAGTTCCATTCACCTTTAAAGTACCTTATCATCAGAAGGTTTTCCTAGACTTCAACCCAGAAAATCTTGCTGTAGGAGACGGGTAGGCATGTTTACAACAGATGTAGTGATGGTTACATTTTTCATTTTGGCCAAAGAGTCCCCTGTAGAGATGTGTTCCAGATTGTACAGCACTGTGCAAGTCTTTTGCTATAGAGATAATTGTTAAACTGTGCACCATAATTTTAGAATAAAAGGAATTAACATAAATCCAGTAAAACGTAGCAAGAATTTCTTTTATATATAAGAAGTTATTGATGTATTGGTTAGAAGAACACAGGTTTGGGTCCTGACTTCATGCTGGACTCCAGTCATTATATAGATTTGTTAAATTCCATCAGCAGCACCTGATTTAACTTCATGAAGGACTCCTTAACTGAAGCAGGTACTGGATGGTAGCTGTAAACACTAGACTTTCTCATTGACAAAGGCCTAAGACTTTTTCTCAGTGCTGTATTCTTATAGATGCTTCCTCTCAAATATTTTAGAACTTTTGGAACATCAGGTTACAGAATATTCCTTGGCAAAATCCCAAAAGTAAATAAACAGCAGCCATAGATAACGAACAGATACTCCACCCTGAGCACTCAGGAGCAATTATCTTCTTATGTAGCTAATCGTCTGCGTTTCTCAAGCACAGCCACTAGTCCACCTTTCATATTTATGAATCCTGAGACCCATGTTGTTTATCTGCCCTTGCTGAGCTCTGTGTAAAGTCAGAGTACCTTTCTAAGGCTCAATAATTTGCTTGGATATGTTAAGGTCTCCCAATTATTGTTCTGTACCTACAAGAGATGAAATGTTAACCAACAAGCGTAAAATCACGCAACCCATCAAAAGATCAATTATGAAACTAATAATTCTAGTTCTGAAATCTGATTGGCTGAGCCCTTCACATGTACAATTGTGTACTATTCAAAAATAATCAATTCAAAAAACTCATCTTGAATGCTAAAAATTCAGTTTAAATTATATTTGCTCTCATTGGTCAAATAATTGTTTTTTATTAACATTTAATTGGTGAATCATTTACATCCCTAGTGCCTGCAGCATTGTGCAGAAGTCTTTTGGAAAAAAAAAATTCCTCTCTTCGAGGAAGTCCCATATTTAGAGTTACCATATAAAACCTGCTTCATCTAATCAGTCTTTCATTATATAAAATAAGGTGAGCTGCTGGTCTAAGCTGGACTTAGACTTGGATATGTTGATACACATACCAGCCTTTTCACACTCAGCTGCGAACCATTCCAATGTGCGCAGGAGGCATCTATGTGATGGAGCCAAAAGGACATTATGTGCAAAAAGCAAAGGCACCACCTTCTGCCCTCCTGACCTCGGCTACGCCTTGACACATTGTTCCTCCTCAAGGTTCAACTGTTAGTCGGAGTCTCCTTTCCAGCACCTTGGCATAAACTTCCTCAGGGAGGCTGAGCACTGTGATACCCCTATAATCGGCACATACTCTCCGGTCCCCTTTCTTAAAAATAGGGACCACCACCCTGGCCTGCCTATCCAAGGGTACTGTTCTTGAGGTATCTGTGACATTGCAGAGGTGTGTCAGCCATGACAGCCCCTCAACATCCAGAGCCTTAAACATTTCCAGGTGAATCTCATCCACCCCAGTGCCTTGCCACTGAGGAGTTTGCCAACTATCTCAGTGACCTCTACCAGGGAAATGGAGTCAGACACTCCAGAAGCTTCTGGTCCTGACTTCAGTGAGGTAGGCATGTCTCTCAGTTTTAGGAGTTCCTCAGGGTGTTCTTTCCACTGACCGACAATATCCTCATTCGAAGTCAGAGTTTCTCTGCCTTTGCTGAGTACAGAGTGAGTGAAGCCAGTCCAGCCACTCCTGAGTCAATGGACAGTTGTTCAGAACCTCTTTAAAGCTAACTGAAAGTCTTTTTCCATGACTTCTCCAAACTCCTCCCATGTTTCGTATTTTGTTTCTGCCACCACTGCTGCTGCTGCCTTTTCTTGCCTGTCGGTACCTATCTGCTGAGTCGGTAATCCTCTGGGCCAACCAGTCCCTAAAGGCTTCTTTTTCAGCTTGATGGCCTCCCTCACCACCGGTGTCCACCAGGGGGTTTTTGGGTTGCCGTCCTGACGAGCACCAACCAGCTTTTGGACGTATATACGCGTGGCGAGGATCTGTTCAGACTCCATTTCCCCTCCCTCCTCTGGTGCATGAGAAAAGTTCTTAAGGAGGTGGGAGTTAAAATCATTCCGGACAGGGGACAAACTCCAACTGAGCAGCAGCCAGCCAGGGGCTTGTAAGTATCCCTACACCGCCTGGTGCCTCTCACCCTGTGAAAGCAGCCCCTGTCAGAGTGTTCCAGAGCTGACACTGTGAATGGAGGTGAGCCCAACTCTGCCTAGTTGGTACCTCTCAACCTCCAGCACAAGCTCCAGCTCCTTCTCCCCACTCTGATTATACATGCCAAGAGCCAGTTTCCACAGCAGGGCTGTCAAGGACCTCCCCACCATCTCCCACTGCCTATAAGGCATTGCACCGGTCCCCCATGCTGAACCTTGCGGGTGGTGGGCCCACATGGTACCCTCATGTTGCCTTTTTGGGCTAAGCCCGGCCAGGTTACATAGTTATATTATTATATTATATTATAATTATTAATACTTTAAAACTTACTTTTACTGTTTTAGTAATAATTTTATTTTATTATCATTTGAAAACTTTATTTGCCCTTTGCATTGGGTTAAAATTTCATGATGAACAGGCCAATAGAAATGGTTCAAAATAACTTTTAAATAAATCTTGTAACATTAACATCCATTGCAAGTTAAGAAATTTCCTTCTCCTGTTATGAAATTATCATTTTGGGTATAAAGGTTTTTGTTCAGACAGTGGATATAATATTACATAGTGTTTTTACTGGCAAAAACTCGCTTACTGCCCATTTGATATAATAAATTAATTTTTCTTGGCTGTCTAAGACTTCTGCCCGGTACTGTACAATCAGCACGTTGTTAATATTGATGATAATAATGATGGTCATCATGATCACAGTAATAAAGATTTTATCATTTACTGCAGTGTCGAGATAGGTGAGAGTGTACGAGGGGAGGATGTGTACATCGTACAAAGTGGCTGCGGAGAGATCAACGACAACCTGATGGAGCTGCTGATCATGATCAACGCTTGCAAGATCGCCTCTTCGTCCCGTGTCACAGCCGTCATCCCCTGCTTCCCCTACGCCCGGCAGGACAAGAAGGACAAGGTCAGAAACCATTTCATAAAGTATTATCATGTTTCTACTGCTAAGAGATGGAAGGAGCAAAAATAGTGGTGGTGGAAACCAGAGGCTGCGAGGTCTACAACACAAATATAACCATTTTACTTACTATTCAAAATGACCATTGAACCTACATGAGTCTTCTGAGTTTGTATATGTTATGTTAATAATGGTAAAATAGTGGTTAATCTGAAAAAAATGTTTTCTTTGGGTTCTGTTTTGCCCTGCAGTGCTCTGCTTGTACCTCTCTATCATAATTGTACAGCTCCATTTCCAAAAAGTATAAAAATAGAATGCAATGATGTGCAAATCATGTAAATCCTGTATTTAATGGAAAATAGTACAAATACAGCATATCATACCAGATATTGAAACTGAGAAATTTTATTGTTTTTAAGAAGAATATAAGGCCATTTTGAATTCGATGTCAGCAGCATGTTCCAAAAAATTTGGCATGGCGGCATGTTTACCACTGTGTTGCATTAGCTCTTCATTTAACAACAGCAGTTCAGGGTGTCCTTTTTAGCACCTGGTGAGTTTAGCTCTCTTACCATGTAGCCATGCTGTTGTAATACATGCAGAAAGTGGTTTAGCACTGTCTTGCTGAAGTAAGCAAGGCCTTTTTTGAAAATGTGTCAGCACATGTTGCTCCAAAACCTACATATATCGTTCAGCATTAATGGTGCCTTCTCAGATGTACAAGTCATCCACACCATGTGCACCAGTGCACCCCCATACCATCACGGACGCTGGCTTTTCAATGGTGCACTGATAACAGGCCCGGCTGTCTAGCAAGGAGGGCGCAGTGTCCATGATTTTCAAAAAGGATTTCAAATTTTGATTTGTCAGACCGCAGGACACTTTTCCCCTTCTCCTCTGTCCATCTTAAATGAGCTCGGGCCCAGAGAAGGTGGCGGCATTTCTGGATCCTATTTATAAATGGTTTCTTCTTTGCATGGTAGAGTTTTAACTGAAATTGTTTTCGGAAATGTTTCTGAGCCCATGCAGTAATTTCTTCTACAGAATCATGTGTGTTCTTGATGCAGATCTTGGCTAGCCAATATTGGTTTTCTCAGCAGGCAGTGTGGAGTGTCTCAACAGACATTGTGGAATTTAATCTGTTTTTATCTGCCATCAGTTGCAGATGTAGCAACTTTCAGTATGGATTTAATTGAACTTTGTTTTCTCTTGTGTGCTGCTGATTGCAGGCCTTTATATGCAGCAGGTTTCGGGGGGGTCTCGAGTTAAATATACATAGTTATTTCTCAGTAAATCAGAGAATGCAGCATTTTATTCTTCTGAAGATCTTTTTGCAAAGCAATGCTATGGCAAAAAAAAATGCCATAGCATTTGTCTTCTGTGTATCAGAATCACTTAATTTTGCCAAGCGTGTTACACATACATGAAATTTGTCCTGGTGAATGCACACATGTATGACGTAGCTATACTGAAAAAAAAACAGACAAACACACAGACTATTAACAAATATCTAACTAAGCGACAAATAAAATACAATGAATAGAAGAAAGAATAATAAGGAGCTAAAGAGATTAAATCTGATTGAACATATCCAAAATGTTATCACTTCTGTAATTCATAAATTGTTTAAAACTAATTCAAAACATAGATCAAATAGAAACATGGCCCCCTGTTAATTCTGAAGATTAAAAGTGTGATGAAGGCAATATAACCTACAATATAGTGTAACATTTATCAAGCTGTATTTAACACAATTACAAATCGGTTTATACCTTAAGTCAACTGTTTCTAGGACCATGGGGTCACTTATATTACTGCTAACTCTTCGCCTGTATGTTTGTTTATGCTAATAGGGACATCTCTGCCATTCACTATGAGATGAATATGTGCAATTTGATTCACCTATAGGGGGAATGCACCATCAATGTAGTGTTGGCCCATTTAAATACCTCAAACTAGAGTATTGACATGCTGTAGTATTAAAAAGGCATTGACTTTCAGACTGTGCATCTTAGCATGTAGCTTCCCTTTTTACAGACTTTAATTGCTGTTAACGTATCAGATTATAGGGGAGTTCTCTTGTTTTAATAGTAAGTGTAACAGATTATTTAACAGCTTCAGTTTTGAGCTGGTAAACAGTTTTATGTCCAGAGTTGAGGTTAAAGTTTAAGAGGTGAACAGAGTTTATCTGTCATCCTCTCTCAGTGTGGCTGTAACTCCTCCTTTTGCTCAGATATAGCAGTGAGGGTACACTGTTGACGTAAATTTAACTGATTTCGTAGAGGACTATCATACTGAAGAGACAAACATTGCGGTAGTGTTTAATGAGGCATTTTACTGGGCAAATGGATAGTACATATATTTACTTAGGTTAAGCTGTCACAGATCTTCTCATAGCCTAAATCACAGACTGCAGTTTATAGCCAAAAGACCATCAGTTTACCTGTTTACCTAGTGCTTGTGTAAACATTGTGGTGGCACTAAATCACAGAGCAAAGTTCCCTAACAATTTTAATGCAAAAGTATGCATCTGGCAAAACATCACATTTACACAGTTTTTCACTTATCTCAGATGTAGTCAATCATCCGAAACATTTTTTAAGGTTCAGATTTTGCTTTTTTTAGTTTAGAATTGGAGCTATGAGGCTAACATTGCTAACAAACAGTAGAAATCAATAGTCACCCAAATCTTTACCCTAAATACATTACCAAAACTTCTCTCAGCCCATTTAAACCATGTCTAGGCCTTTTCTAAGGTCAGACAGACTTGTCAGTGGAAACAGTGTGATTTACTTACTTACTTACTTAGCATGTTTCATTACAGAAAGAGAACATATTTCTATTTAAGTGGATTTAGTGCAGTACAGTATGTGGAATGATCATTTGTACTCAGTTTTTATAGTACCTTTTTGTGTTTCAACTTCTAAGATGTCAAAAAAAAATAAATGTCATGATGTATCTTGTATGGAGACAATTTCCTGAGATATTGTGATATTGTATGCTTGCCACCTCACCCTCCTGTCATCTATAAAAATGAACAAAAGGCAGGCACATAGACGAGAGATAAGATTTGCAGTTTCTGTTGGTTGGTTTTATTTCTAAATGTATACGGTCAGTTAAAAAAATGTAAAAGTTATTTATAAGTAGAAACAACAGAAACCTTGAATGTAATCTGTCTCTGTAATTTGCGAGCACATGGGCGGATAGGAGCGACTGAATTCATCTGGCCTTTTGTTCAGTTTGTAGCAGAACTGTTCCAGCTTGTGAATATCATTCACTTTTGAAAATGTATTAGTGCTCTGCACTGAGGCTGTACAGTACATTGTTTGTTAATTATTATCATGAGAAGGTTGCAGTATGCAGATGAGCCCTCTTACCAGTCAGAATGGTTTTACTGTGTAATGTGAACCAATCACAGTTCCAGATTAATGTTTCTGGGGCTTTGATAAATCAACATAATTCAAGAAGTCCGACAAAATAAATTATTTTGGTCAAACTAATTATAACTTTATTGATTCCCCAGTGTGTTTTCAATATATTGCAGTGACACAGTTGCAGTATGTAACAATATAATCACAAAGCTAATGTCCATATGATGATGCCCTACTGTAAACTTTAGCTGTACAATGAAAAACTGTTTCCTGTCTAGAGTCGTGCGCCCATTTCTGCCAAGCTGGTTGCTAACATGCTGTCAGTCGCTGGCGCAGACCACATCATCACCATGGATCTCCATGCTTCCCAGATCCAGGTAAAACTCTGCCACTGCTTCTTGTTGCAAAGCTCCCATCATGACTCTTTCAGAAAAAGGTGTTATCAGTGTTAATCCCTGAGTACATATATGAGCTGTACTTGGCACATTGAGGCCTGTTTTTCTACATGTAGCAAAACTGATATTAACATCTAGGTGTGCTGTCCCTTTTCACTCAGGGCTTTTTTGACATTGCTGTGGACAACCTGTATGCAGAACCTGCGGTTCTTCAGTGGATCCGAGAGAACATTCCAGAGTGGAAAAACTGCATTATTGTGTCACCAGATGCAGGTGGTGCTAAAAGGTACATTGTGTGTGGGTTTTTTTTTTTGCTGGGAGAAATTAATCCTGCGAAAGAACTTTGTGTGTCTGCACGTGTAAATATCTCTACTTAAATATTTAGACAATCCTGGAGCACATGGAAGTAGTCAGTTATGTAATTTGTGAACTGTTACTCCTACATGGTGTGGGCAGAATCGATCAGCATTTCCCCGCTGCCAAAATCATCTCCTCAAGCGTAGTTCTGTAAACTGCAACACAGATTTGGCTTTAGTGTTTATGGTAGTTGTAGTCCATCAGGAAATTTGTAACCAAAGGGAAAACTCTTGGGATTTGGAAACTGTGCCTACTGTCTTTGCTGCCTTTAGCCCGCATATGCAACAGTTTGGGCACCCCAGTTAAATGACACGTTTTGTTGATTTTCTAAGTGAAAATAAGTTAATACGTCCTCTACAGAGAACACACTTCCTGCACATTTAATACATAATTACTGTTTATTTGCTGAATCTAACATGTTTGGGTAAAAGATAAAGCATGAAATGTAGCTTGTACAAAAGTTTTGGCACTTTTTTTCATTAAATTCAAAAAATGGGAATTGTGCACTAAAGTTTGCAGAAAAATGCCACATTTAAATGTGTTCTGTGTAGAAGATGTGTTAACTTACTCTCACTCAGAAAATCTACAAAACGTAATTTAACGAGGAGTGTTCAAACTTTTGGATACAACTAAATATCCTTTTTTTGGAATTAGCTGATTAGATACATATTAAGTAACATTTGAGCCCTTAGTAGCATGTGAGCCCCTGCTGGTGAGTTTCTGTCTCTGTCTCTCTTTCTGTCTCCCCCTCTGTCTGATGATTTTGGTAGATTTGGTAGCATGGTATTCACATCAATTCAATTGTTTGTAGAAAATATTATTTTGATTTTGATTTTGATACATTCTTACAGATTGTCATACAAATTAATTTAATATGTGTACGAGGTGCCAGATTCAAATCCTGGCATGAATTAAGCCCTGGTAGTTCTGTTACTAATTGTGGAGTGTTTGGAAAGTATGAAAATGTAGCTGGTCTTGTGTTTTGATAAAAGGCAAGTGGCCACTCAGTGTTGACCCGTGGCCACTCAGTGTCGACCGTTGGCCACATTATTTTTAAATTTATGCTGCTACACTTTTCTAGCACCAGTGCTGCCTTCTCAAAAACAGTCCTGTAGTAATACAGTTTTTTTAAAGGTGTTCAGTAAAAACTCTAACTAGGTTGACGAGGATGAATGGCTTTACTCTGCAGGATTAAAATGGAACAGTAAATGTTTCAAACTCCAAGCAGTCCTGTTCTTAACTGTATATCGTGCCCCCAGGGTGACGTCTATTGCTGACCGGCTCAACGTTGAGTTTGCGCTCATCCATAAAGAGCGTAAAAAGGCCAATGAGGTGGATCGCATGGTCCTGGTGGGAGACGTTAAGGACCGTGTGGCCATCCTTGTGGACGACATGGCTGATACGTGTGGAACCATCTGCCATGCTGCTGATAAGTAAGTGGAAATTCCAGTGCAAGCTCCATAATGAAAATGCACTTAACACACGTCTGTTTCTGTGTTGCAAAGTCAGTGAGCAGATCATCCCAAATTCTTCCATTACAACAATCTGCCCCAGACCATTCCTTTCACTGTCCTTTTAGTATTCTGCTGACTGGATCGTTTGGTGGGAGGTTCTTTATATTTTCTGTTCTTCCTTTTTCTTTGAATGGTTAAGTGGTAATGTAAACATGACAGGATTGTTGTTTCTTGCTCTTCAAAGGTACTGAAAATGAAAAACAGTCTGTGTAGAGTAATATGCTGGCTCAAGTGGCTCCTAAGTCCTATAACCTTCCCAGTCTCTGTGTTCTTCTCCTTATCCTGATTTATTTCCATCTAGTCCAGTATTGTATTTGTGCTGCCTCCTCATCTTTCATCTTCTCATTATGTGGATTTGTTTTATCAGGCTGATCTCTGCTGGTGCAATAAAGGTCTATGCCATCCTCACTCACGGCATCTTCTCTGGACCTGCCATCTCGCGCATCAACAATGCCCCCTTCGAGGCTGTGGTGGTCACAAACACCATTCCACAAGAGGAAAAGATGAAACAGTGTCCCAAAATTCAGGTAATTAAAAACTATATTCACAGCTGCTGTTTTGCAATCAGTTAATAAATACACATTATGATTCATTATTTATATGATGTGCGATCCATTCTTCCTTTTTACAGTTTGCTCCTATAGTTCTTCATCCAGAGATTACTGGTGCTTATTCATCAAAAGTTGTGTAGAAATGAACATAGAAACAAGCATCTGGAACGTACAAACTACTCCATGTCTGATTTGTGAAACTGTTGTACGACATGCAAAGATTTGAGCGCAAGTTATTTCATTATTTATGCTGCATGGAAGCAAATACCTGCCCAGTCCACAAATTCAGATTTCTATTTACAAATAACATGTTGACAGCATTCACACTGAATTACCTATCATTTTTAGCATAAGGATCCCATATGCATAGTTCTTCTTCTTCTTCTTCTTCTTCTTCTTCTTCTCATTATTATTATTATTATTATTGCTATTTTCAGTTTTTCTTATTTCTGATATTGATCATGATTTTGATTATTTTAAAGCGCAGTATACAGTTCTGGAGAACAACTGTTGATATTTGAATTGACAGCAAAACAAATACAACCCTCCCTTATGTGCTCCTTTAGAAGCTCCGGGCCCCCAAATTCATTGACATGAATTCCCAAGGCGAAAGATTTTTTTAATAAGAAGCTGGCACATAGGAAGCCAACTTCATCCTCATGGAAAAAACACTAGTCTTAGGATCTACTTCTTCCTATGGGATTCAGGCAGCTACTAAGTGACAATTCTGGATGGATGAAATGAATAACTCACTGTGTAGGGATGATAATAGCTGGCGGTGATTGAGCCATGTTAGAAAATCCCCTCACGCTCATTTCAGCCAGGTGAGAGCCACACTTTATATATGAACACAAGATCAGACTGTAATTGAACTTGTAACGCTCCTTTCATTTAATATTGGAATGTAGCATTTATACGTATATATGTGTATGTATGTATGTATCTCTGACAAAATATCTCTTGGAAAATGAATAACTTGTACTGTCTATAAAGTAAATAAATTAAAGGGTGGTCTCTAATGTTTGTACAGTACTGTGCACATAAACATACTATTGATATAATTTTGACAAAACTACCTTTAATACCATAGTAGGACTTTTAGGTGAAGAAAAGGAATATTGATCATAAATGTGGGTGGTAAAGGAATGTCAGTAATGTTTTTTTGTTTATTTGGAGAGTACTACAAAACTCAGGTATGACTACAATTTATATTTAATTCATGCACAAATAAAGGCTGATCCTGTCTAGCCTAAATCTGTGATTAAGTGAGAAGTGTGGTGTGTGCTTATGGCTTAAAAGCACTGTTAATTTGCAGCTTGCTGTCGTCTACTGGTGCACAGAATCTCTAATCAGTGTGGCGTCTTTTCCAGGTCATCGACATTTCAATGATTTTGGCGGAGGCCATTCGGAGAACCCACAATGGTGAATCAGTCTCGTACCTTTTCAGCCACGTACCATTGTAAAGACAAGCAGAGAAGAACCTTCTTCCTCCATCACCAACCGTTCCAGTATCATTCCTCTGTGGGAGTCCGAAGAGTAAATCATGTTTGGTAGCCAATAGCAAACAACTAGCTCTTCTAAATCCTGACAACCCAATTCTCTTATCTTTCCCTTCTGCAGGTTTATTTATGTAGGGCTTTTAATTGCTGGTACCCCCCACACACAATCAATTGCCTTTTTGCAAATTTTCACTTTAATTTTGGACCTCAATCTTTTCCTTTTTTATTTTACCATAAGAAAAGAAACGTCACTGTTGAAAATGATTGACGTCGTACAATGACATTTTTTCTTCTCCATATATCTGAATAGATTGAGTTAAGTAGTTATACCACAGACAGATCTTTGCAGTCTTTCCCATCAGACTCTCATCACCCGTTAGTGTTAACTAGATTTGGGCTGCCAAAGGAAGGGGAAAGCGAACATCACTATAGAGATCTTCTTAACTAGTTTGTGATCATCTGTGTTACCAGTGTTTTGGGAAACTGGTAAAATTACACACATTTCTGCTTACCTCAGATTAGCAGGTGGAGTATAAGCTTCCATTATTTGTTTGCTACATTAGCTTTGTAGCTCCAGTGAAAAGCTAAAGAAGCAGGTCTTTAGGCATTTGAGTAAGGGGGAAACTGCCTAAATTAGATGACTTCGATTACCCCCTCATGTAATAATTAAAGAAGCCACATGTAAGAAACAGTTAAAAGTTCTTCATGCAAGTTCTGCTGCTGTCTTTTATTATACAGTAAATGTTCTCAAATGCAAAACTTAATGTACATTTACCCTAATTGGATGATTTTGGTTATGTTGTGCTTTTTTCCTTTTCAAGAAACATGGCATGACAGCTGGAGGTATTTCACAAAGCAGGATTTCTCAGTTAAAGTTGATAATTTAAAATGAGAGTGTTAAATGTTCAAGGCTTGGTCATACCAATACTGATTGATATATATGGGCAATAAAACGCATGTCACGTTTTGAAAACAAACATTCTTATTAATCACATCTTGCATATTGAGTCTGAAACTGACTAACAGCGGTACTTTCTTTAGTCAAGCTGACCAATCAAAGCTCTGTTGTCATGGTTGCAGTGCAACGAGGGGATTAAGGGTAAATTCATTCAGAGTGGTTTGATGTGAAATGCTCTGTTCTAGAGAGTCAGAATTATTCACCGTGGTGGTGACGGGAACCAAATGTCTGAAGAGTTCAATGCCTCTAAAAGCTCCCTCACAGAAAGTTATCGCATGAATGGTGATGAATGCACTGCCTGATGCCTGAGACATGTCTTAATGTGTGAATTATTGTTTTTAGTCTGTTCATGGTAGAGTGATACATGCACTGTGTTTTAAGGGAAAACAGTCCCCAAAGAAGTTTGTGTAGGTTCACTGGTCATTTTGGGTAGTAAATGAAAAGGCTAAATTTGTGTTGTAGACATGGTGACCCCTGGTTCCTATCACCACCATTGTAGTTATCTAAGAAATTTGTTTCTCTGTAATGAACCATTTCACATCAAACCACTCTGAATGACTGTTTTTATCTCAACCATTGAATTATTATTATACAGATGTTTTGAAAAATGCTGACATTGCCCCTTTAAGGTGGTTGCAGAACAGCTCATATTGCTTGTGGAAGAGCGTAAAAGCAACAGAAAACATGTTGACTATAAAAACGCACAGATTAAAGGAGATATATGGAGACCATAGATGAAAGGCTGAAGAAGGACTGTGAGTGCCTTAGTACAAGATAGCAACTGTGTGAAATGAAGCAGGCTTGATGCGAAGGTTTCACTATGTTTAAAAATCATGTCTGAAAGCATCTTATTTTGTGTGAGTAGACTAAGAAGTACCTTTTAGTGAAATACCGCAGTGACTAGCTGGCTGAGCTTTTTAGAAATGCCCTTTTAGAAACGACAGAATGAGACTTGGACATGCTGACAAAGAACTTCCTTAATGCTATAAAGATCGGTACCAGTAGCTCAGTCAAGACGTCAATCATTAAATGGATTTCAAATGTAATAATCTTACCTGTACCTTTAAAAATGTCCAACTACCATTGGGCTGTGTCAAATGGCTAAAGGACTGTTTCAGATTCAACATTAAGAGGCTGCTGTGACCTGTGGATGCTGAGCTTTGTATACATTCTTGATTTCTGGACTGCATATGTTCATTTCATGGTGTTCAAATTACCTGACTATAAAATAATGTAGCCTAAGTTTTACATGTAGTTTATAGTATAAACTGCACGTTCTAACAACGGTACCTTTTATGGACAGTGCATGAAGTCAACACCAACACTATTTGACACAACAGTGCTATGCCAGGCACCTGTTCTCTGAGCACCTGGCACAATGGCATAGTAACACCATAGGTATTGTGTTATGTTCAACTATTTTGTGTAGCCGCACAAAACATTTCCCCAGTGTTTTGCCTCATTCTATAAGGACACCTGTTGATCAGTGCTGTGCTATTGTATAAGTGCCATAGATAGATATTTGCCTTTCATGTTGATCCAGGAACAGACCAAACGCAATCTGACCCATCATAAAAATGATTGCAGATCAGTTATACAACTTTCATGGGCTAAATACAAGTTAGTCATTTGTATTTCCATGGTTTATAGAAACCTCTACTATTTTTTTTTTTTTTAAGTAAAGGTGAGAGAGGTGGGGACTTGAGTCAGTAACTTGGACATACCGTTAAATACAGCTTCAAACACACCTTTCATTATGGAAGATCATTCAGTCTGATACAGAATTGAGCTCTACAGGCAATAAATGTGCTGTTTAAAGCAAAGCAGATAAACAACTAGAAATGGTTGGCTAGCATGTCATTTTAAAAAGCAAGCATTCAAGTTTCGGTAAGTTACAGATCACATTCCTCTAAAACTTCAGCTGGATTATCTTTTATGCTAGCTAGCATAGCTGCTGCACAAACTACCATTTCCAGTTGTTTTGCCTCTTTCCTTCAAACATCTTTACTGTAAGAAACAATACTGCTTTGTAGTGCTTCAGTTCTGTCCTTCAACCTTGTGTTTTCTATCATAAAAGGCTTGTTTTTGGAAGTCGTGTCGAACCTGATAGTTTTTTTTTTTTAGGAGTTTACTTTTGTACAATTCAATGCCTGCAACTAATAACTCTGAACATTTCTGCTAGTAGAGATGCACAGATGTGGAAATTCCGGCCTTATGCCAACATTTAGAATCCTATATTTTTCATGTATGTATCTGTCAGGGTCAATGCCGATACACACACGTTTCTAAAGTATAGAAATTGGGAATAGATCCACTTAGATTTACATATTATGCATTACAATCCTCTTAAATTAGTCTTTTTGTAATAGAGGATTATGTAGTAAAAGGATAAAAAAACAATTTTAACGCAGTATCCCAGTGTCACCCAAACATTTTCCTCAATCAGAATACAATAAATGCTTAATCAAGTATAGTTTTGAAACATCAGTCAGACCGAACATTGGTCCAATGCCAATGTTTTTCTTTAAACAGTTATCTGCTGATACCGATATAATTCTGATATTATGATGCTTCCCTAGTACGTAAATGGTCCTTTACTTGCTTGTGCGATCTATTAAAATCTTAGCAAATAATGTATGCCTTTACATTATGTGGACGTTCTTTGAACCATACATAGAATGGTTCTTTACGGAACCAAAAGTGGTTTCTTCTATAGCACCTATATTTTTAAGAGTGTACACAAATTGCTTTACCGTCACTGTTCACCAGTCCAACTGCCAAAGGTGAATATCCCTTTAAAATCCAGTGTTTACAAATTGCAATACAAACTCTTTGGCCTTTTATCATTGAAGCAAGAGGTTTCTTAACAGCCAACTAGAAGCTGACTTAACTGTTCTCAGATCAGCATGAAAGGGCAGAATGAAAACTGGCTCAGGGATGGTTTGTAATCCAGTGGCAGGGTCACCACTAAAGACTGAAGTTTTGCCTGGGTTCATTTTTACAGTGTATGAAGGCTCCTATTTTCTTATGTGTGATTACGGCTTTAGAAATAGCAGTCCCCATATTGTTTGTGGGGTGCAGTAATCAAGGGTGCCCAGTCTGTCTTAAAATGACAATGGAAATAAAAGTAATGCTTTGACAATGACTTTTCCTTAGACTTGATTTCAATCCTTTTTACAGTGTGTTTAAAATGTATACAGAATTGTTTTTGTTGCTCTCTGTACCGCCAACATTTATTACTGAAGTACACTGCAGTTACCTCCTGGTATTCCCAATTCTCCTATTTAAAGTCACTGAAGTCTTATAAAGGCAAAGTTGAAGCTTTAGAAAAGGGTCAAGGTGTCTTCAGTCATGCAAACACACCAACAGAATCTTTTTACACTCAATCCTTATTAACCAATACGCTATATGGCCAAAGGTATGTGGATTCCTGTCCTAGTTATTGAGGTTGTGTTTCAGCTACACCCATTGCTTACAGAACTGTCCATCGGGAGCTTCATAAAATGAGTTTCCATGGCCAAGCAGCTGCACATAAGCCTAAGATCACTATGTGCAGTGTCAAGTGTCAGCTGGAGTAGCGTGAAGCACTTTGGAGCAGTGGAAATGTAATGAATCACACTTTGCTATCTGGCAGTCTGATGCCAGGAGAACTCTACCTACCAGAATGCATATTGCCAACAGTAAAGTTTGGTGGAGAAAGGATAATGGTCTGGGGCTGTTTTTTAGGGTTTGGGCCCCTTAGCTCCAGTGAAGGGTGATGTTAATGCTGCAGCATACACAAACATAGACAATTACACACATACAATTTTATGGCAACAGTTTGGGGAAGGCCGATTCCTGTTCCAGCACGACTGTGCCCCTGTGCACAATGTGAGGTTCATAAAAACATAGTTTGATGAGTTTGGTGTGGAGCAACTACAGAGCCCTGACCTCAACCCCACTGAACACCTTTGGGATGAACTGGAAGGTTGAATGTGAGCCAAGCCTTCTCGTCCAACATCTTGTGGAAGGCCTTCCCAGAAGAGTGGAGGCTGTTATAGTTGCAACTCCATATTAATACTAATTAATGGTTTTGGAACGGGATGTCCAGCAAGCTCGTATCGGTGTGATCTCTTTTGGCCATACAGTTAAAGTTTTACGTTATGTACTAGCAAAGCTGGAAGGTTACATGTAGGCTAATTAAGCTAAAAGTTCAGTTGCTCATCAGTCTCTTTCTAGTATTTTCTCTAGGCTACATTTGGCCTTACATATCATTGTGTCCTGTATATTGTCTCATAAAACATCGCCAACACAATCACTGAACCTCAGACAAATCAGCAAACACTGATTTTCTCAGAAACTGAGTAAAAGGAAAATGGTTTCATGGTTTAGCGGTACATGCCCAAAACATCCTGGAAGGAAAAATGACCTCTAACTAACCTACTGGGAAAAGAGAATACAGTCAAGATGTATTCAAATACGGTCAAACTAAATAAGCCACCAGTCTCCACATGTGGATTAGTTAATCTGATAAGCAGATACACAAGGTTCATTTACCATCACTAATAAATCACATCAGACCTATAGGGTAACATTACAGGTTATTAAAAATGACTGCATTTTTGGAGGACAATGTTAAAGGTTACTAGACGTTACTAATTTTTAGGAGGGTGAAATTAATCTTTATAACAGGATAACATTACTAGTTATTATTTTAGGAATGTAAAATTATTGTTTTAAGCTAGTATATTTTGGTAAAGTAACATTGCTGAAAGTTGCTAAATTTTAGGATGGTATCATTACTCACTGTTTCAAATTACTAATTTATTGTAGACTAACTTGTAATTCAATTTTAACAAATTACTGAAAGACTACTTAGTACAGTAACACTGCTAGTTGTTCTAATACACTGAATTTTAATGGAGTAAATTTATTGAATGATCAAAGTTGATAACTTTAGCAGAGTAACATTACTGATTGAGTTTTAGAAGGGTAACATTACAGGTTGTTCAAAGTTATTGAATTTTAGGAGGTAAAAATTGTTGAACGTTCAAAAATTTACCATGTTAGCAGAGTAGCATTACTGGTTAAGTTGTAGCAGTGTAACAACACTGATTGTTTAAAGTTACTACATTAAGAGGCTAACATTGCTGGTTGTTTAAATGATTAAATTTTAGGAGGCAACATTACTGGATGGTCTTCTAAAGTTTAGAACAGCATCATTATCTTGCTTACTGCTTCAAAGTTACTCATTCTCACTCCTAGTTGTTATGAGTTACTGAACTTAAGCAGGGTATCATTATTTATTTTTTAATTACTCAGTTTTAGGAAGGCTAACATTACTGATTGATTAGTTAACTTTTAGGAAGATAACATTCAGAACCATTTCTTGCTATAAGCAGTTGAGCCCCCAAGCCACCAGGGGGCCCACAAGCATTCAGTATTTATTTCTTAATTTTACGTATTATTTATTTTGTCCTAATCAACATTATAACACAATGACATTACTGGTTTTAGCAGAGTTACTGGTTGCTCAAAGTTGCTGATCAGGGTAACATTACTGGATGGTCTTCTGAATAAGATGAGCAACATTAACTTGCTTACTGCTTCAAAGTTACTCAGTCTCACTGCTGGTTATGGGTTACTGGATTTAAGCAGGGTAAAATGACCGGTTGCTCTGATTTATCGAAGTTTAGATGAATATTTTGAATGGCTGAACTACGTTACTGATGCTCCTTCTCACCTGAGGCTGAACTGAAGTGGAGCCTACGTGAAAGCAGTGTGGCGGTAATTCCCTCACCCACCGCCAGGCGGAGCAGCTCTGTTTCTCTGCAGTCAGGATGACAGGGGGCTCCTCATCAGTCAGGCATCATCACCATCACCCAACAGCGGCCTGTGAGAGAAAAATGCCCGAAAAGTCATGGAAACTGTTGGAGGTGTCGCTCCAGCGCGGCGGCGGGACACACTACGATATAGAGCACCGCAGCTCTGACTTCCACTGAAGGTAGACGCGGACCGTTTTCGAGGAGCGGGTCGGTGTGTTTGTGTTTGTGTGAATAGCAGCAGGCTGTGCGCTAACCTCACTGCACTGCCTGGCGGTGTAAAAGTACATTTAATGCTCGTCATTTTGCTTAGTTCGTCTTCTTCAATTGCTGTAGAGAATAACCGCCATATATCGAGCTGCTCGTGTCTGATGAATTCTAGTTAGAAACTGATGCTGCTCCTGCTAACCGACGAGCTACTTAGCTAGCTAACCTAGCTAACCCACCTGAGATAACCGTGTGGAAACGTAGGTTAGCTAGCTAGTGTATCCTCGGCTAACAGGTTCGCTGATGCTTTCAGGATATCTGTGCATTAATAACATTAAAAAGATTGTCTTTTTACAAGTGAGCCTGAAGTTGGCTTCCTATTCGCCAGCTTCTTGTTCGAACCACCTTAAATGGTGCTGCAGTTACAGCACATTTAAGGTGGAACGGGAGAATAAGAATAAGAAGCTGGTTTCAGCTTCGTTTACATACAACAAAAAGGGCACAAAATGCATCTGGTCGCGTTTATTCGAGAGACTATAAACACAAGCGCTTTCCAGGCACCATGTTACTGTTGTGAAAGTGATTGGAGTCAATATAATGTGATGTTAATTCTTAGTAATTAGAAAAAAACAGTAATTGTCCCCGTTTTAAAATCCAGTAAGTTAACTGAACAGATTATTAGTATTATATCCCCCCTTATAATACATTGACCTAGAAGAGTCAGTGATGTTAACCTAGCTGACTTACTCTTCTGCATTTCAGTAGCTCAGAGCAAGTGATGCTTGTCATGTTCATGCAAACTCGAACATGAAGGCAGTTCTTACAGGCATTACTGAGTTACAGGAATGTAGCGGTACAGGCTGTTTAAATCGTTAGTATTTGAGGTGTTGTGTTCTGTTTTTGGTTTGCATTGGTGTTATTGAGGACCACTAGTAACCCTGACCTCTGAACATGAGCAGTAATGTTACTGTCCTAAAATTACCAGTTTTATTTATATATATATATATATATATATATATATATATATATATATATATATAATTTTTTTTAAATAAGCATTTGATGTGATCATTCCAGAAGAGGATGCTTTCACTTTTGACTATTGGACTGTAACCATCTATTATACAATACACATGCGCGTCTAATGGAGCCATACTGTTTTTGACGTGTGTATGGTAGTATGCAGTTTTGGGCACGGTCCTGGTTCCTTTCACGTTCTTCCTCATGCCCAAAGGGAGTTTTTCCTGCCATCCTCAACGACATTGAGAGGTTTCGAGCTGCATTTCTGTAAAACTGCTTTGGGACAGTGCTTGTTGTGAGAAGCTTTGTGTAAATAAAATTAAGTTGTTCCACAGGCGTTCCATAGGCATACCAGTCTTAATGTGCAGTGTCTTTTCTCTATGGAGTAGTTGTCAAGAGTATGAGCAGAGAGTTGGCTTCTGTTTGTAGACATTAGTCATATGACCTGGTCTCACTTTGCCCCTCCTTAGTTCTCGAGAAGGAAATGACGTTGTTTGAAGGATTTGTTTTTTAGAGGGAGAAAAGACTTTCTCAGCCACTTCTTTCTGCTTGTAGCTCTTGTTGACTGTGAGGAAAACTGAATATGTAGCGAGGCTACTTGTATGTTTTTTTTTGTTTGTTTGTTTTTTTTTATTTCTGAAAGCATTCACTCTCTTCCTTCACAGGCTCCATCACTATGTCCATGGCTTAATAATGCGGCGTCACTGGCTGTTGGTTGGTGCTTGTGGATGGGTGCTGCTCGTCCTTGTGTTCGCCAGCAAGTTCATCAACTTCGGCTTCAGAATGCCAGATGGTAAGTGTCACATGGGCTCGTCAAAGCTGCAAAACAGCGTCAATGTTTTAGTCACTCTGGAACTGAGCTTGTAAGGTTAAGCTAACAAGAGGCTGCATATGTTACACACTGCTGCACAGCTGTTTATGTGCAATACACGACTAATAGTTACACTCTATAGTTTTTATAGTATATTGTATTTTATATTCATTGTACTTTTCTACACAAGCAGTTTGTTTGAGTCTAAGAAATAGTAAGTTGTCAGTAGGGCTGCCACGATTACTCAATTAAGCTTGATTTAAAAAATGATTAGCTGATGGTTGACATGATAATAATGCATAGTTTAACTTCTCCTGCTGGTCTGTCTTACAGTAACAAACAGGGCCTGATGGACACCTATTTATATCTTTTTTTTTTGCCACATAGTGTTTTTATTTTTGTTAATGAAGTCTTTTTAAAGGCTTTTTTTGTTTCATTTTTCAGTCATATGTTTTGGAATCTTTAGAAGTCTAAAAATTATTTGTTATTTTTATTGTTTAATTAATAAAATTACGATCATAATTATTACTGATATAACTAGTAACTGATTAATTCTATAATTAATTATAATCAAATACATAAAATTATATAATTATACAATAATTATAACTGTATAATTATAAGTTGATAATAACTACATTACTAAAGTAATTGATGTGTCATATTGTTGTCATATAGCCTTTGACCCATAACGTCCACACATTCTTTTTCAGACTATGGGGGAAGGCCTGAAATGCTGAATTGGACCTTTTCACCCATAAAGACTGTGAAAGCCCCACCCGAGCAGCTCGTACAGAAGGCAGCATCTCAGCCATCTCCAGCAGTGACTCAGCTTTTCAGTGTCCAGGTCCAAATTATTAGCACTTCACTTGTCTGCATCTGGGTGAAAGTTCTTGTCGTGGGTGTTGAGGGTGTTGGTTTGCTTAAAGGAGAATTCTACCAATTGTTGATGTGAAAAATAGTGTCTCAGACATGAGCTTCTAAGGTATGTCTGTCTGTGTAGTCCTCAGGTGGCCTGGCTGAAGTCGAGCTTTCAGACTGGCACTCAGTGACTGTGCAGCGCTTGCAGCTTTTGTCCAGCGTTTGCAGGAACTCCTCTCTCTGGAACCTCACTCACACTCCACTGCGCAAGTTTGTTCTCGACCGCATCTTTGTTTGTGACAAATACAAGATCCTTTTTTGCCAGACGCCCAAGGTTGGCAACACACAATGGAAGAAGGTTCTCATTGTTCTCAATGGTGAGAGATTTTGTTCAGTACAGTTTCTGGTTTTTGTTTAGTACAGTAAAGCGCAGAAGTGAGCTTTCTTCAGTGTAGTCATTCTTAATCATTTTCCTGAGTGCTGCAGTGGAGTACACCCAACCAGGAACACTGTTGGTTACAATAGCAGTTCAGCCTTAGGCTAATTGTAGTTTGTAGTCACAGCTTTCTGTGGTGCTAGACTTATATTGGCAGATTGTGTGACGGTTCTCTCACTGCTCTGTCTTGATTCTTTACTTTTAGGAAAGTTCTCCAAGGTTGAAGATATACCTGAGAATGTGGTCCATGACCACGAGAGAAATGGTTTACCTCGCCTGTCCTCTATGAGTGACGCAGAGATCACTGAAAGGTCTGGAAAAGTTTTATGCTCAAGTTAAACTCACAGGCTGTAAATAGGAATTACTACTGTTTTTCTAATTTAATTCTAAGTTTCCTAATTTAAGCTTAAGATCAGATATCTACCTGTCTGTCTAAAGTCACTGACCTCCTTAATACATTAATTACCTGTCGATACTGTAAATGAATCAGTAGAACATTGTTAATTCATCTCTATCTAGTATCTGTTAATAACATTAACACTATAACTTAATTATTATTTAAGAGGTTTATATCTTAACAGCAGCCGGAAATTAAAGATGGCACATTGGTCTCTTTGGGTGAGAAGGATGACTTAGTGTCCTTCTCCTGTTTATATTTAGTGGTGCTGGCAAGATTTCAGCATCCACCAAATTCAGTTACACTTGATTCTTGGAGGAAACATGTCACACATTAGTTGGGGCCGTATGAACGGGGGCTTAGACTGTGTGTGGAAACTGGTAAAGGCTAATTATGCATTCAGATGGTCCTTGTCATCTCACAGTGTCAGAAAATTGTCACATCACCAAATCCTACCAGTTGTGTTTGTTTAGGTGGTCACAAGACACTGGTACAATTTTACACTAGTATCCAAAAGTTTGTAATCACTTGTCATGTTAATAGTTTTTATCATGTTGTATACAATAATAACTGAAATTAAATATTACAAACTATTCTTCAGAAACATTTTTACATAATTGATTTAATATTTCAAGAATTCTATGAGCCAGAAGTGTATAAAATGTTAAATAATACTGTAATACTGATTTCTATTTTATATTTTTTTGGTCAAATTACCTGCCTTGAGATTTTTTTATTAACAGCTTCCTAGTGTCCTGGGAATTGTTTGAAAGCTGTGAGGTTGCACAGGACTAGTATGTTAGAACTATTTGATACAGGAACCTGCAACCAGATTTCGTATTATTAAAAGCATTGGGCCTCATTCACCAGCCATTCTTAAGAAGAAATTTCTTCTTAAAACCCACTCACACAGTCTTCACAAAGATTCTGACATTCACCAATGTTTACTTACTTAGGTAAGAACAGAATCTACACACACATTTAAAAGCACAAAGGCAGGTCTGTGATTTAAGAACGTCATGAATCTGATGTAGACTTTTTCTTGGGGCCTTTTTCAAGAACAAATTTAAGAATTTATTGGTGAATGAGGCCCACTGATTCTAGAATCCATCACTAGAATGCTAGTGTAAAAGCGCTGAGATGGACCAAGGCCAGCATGATCTACAGTGTTCAGAGATATCAGGAAATATCGTGAATGGTGATGCGCCACAGCTCGTAAGCTCATGTAGCATGAAACCTGCCCATGACTTTGTCAGCCATTTTAGTACAACTTCCTTGGGGTAAACTTGAAAATTTACAGTTTGCAAGGACCATCTGACTGTACAAAAGCTTCAGAAAGATTTATTTAAAAATGTAATTGAAAAAATAGTACTTGCTTACTTACTACTTTGCTTAAATGGTGTTTCAGATTACATACGTACTTTAAGTTCTTCATTGTCAGAGACCCCTTTGAGCGTCTCATATCGGCCTTCAAGGACAAGTTTGTGAAGAACCCGCGCTTCGAGCCATGGTACAAGCACAACATAGCACCTGCCATTATTCGCAAGTACCGCAAAAGTCATCAAGACACTGACGAAAGTGCTGGCTTACACTTTGAGGACTTTGTCCGTTACTTGGGCGATGAGCCTGGCCGACAGCACCTGGATCGGCAGTTCGGCAACCACATCATCCACTGGTTAACCTACACTGAACTGTGCGCTCCATGCGACGTTTCGTACAATGTGGTCGGGCACCATGAGACTCTTGAGCTTGACGCCCCATATATTCTGAAAGCTGCTGGCATTGCAGATTTGGTGTCGTACCCCACCATCCCACCAGGGATAACCCGTTACAACCAGACCAAGGTGGAGCACTACTTTTCTGGAATCAGCAAGCGGGACATTCGCCGCCTCTATGCTCGTTACCAGGGTGACTTCAGCCTTTTTGGCTACCACAGACCCGATTTCCTGTTGGACTGATGAGAGGCTTGCTATGTCTATTTTTGTGGAACACACTACTAAAGGATATTTTGTAATACTGGAGAGATTTGCCAGATTGCTGGCAAACCAGTGTTTTCTGTTGCCTGATAGAGATGGTATTGAAATTTTGCCCTTTTGCACTGACCTTGGACCAGCTATGTGTTTTTCATGGTCATGATTTTATTACATGAAGCAATCTTTAGGTCAACACTAAGAAGCAGCTGCGAAGTGGAGCAGCTAAAAAGGACTTGCTGGGGTTTAGAGCATCATTCTGGTGAAGTTGATTGCTGCCTTGTTACTGCTTGGTCCCAGTTTTTGAGTCTTGATACTTGGTTGCTACTGTATTTGCCATATGAAAATGAAAGTGCCACATTCTGATGTTATTTAACAAAGGTTACTCTTAGTATTTTACTAGAAGGTACTTTACCCATTTGAAATTGAACTTACATACACTCTGTGACTTTAGAACAGCATAATGGTCTTCCTGCAACTTTCTGTAAAACTGGATGATGCTGTTCTTCTCAGATTCCTTGAATTCTGAAGCTGTACAGTACTGTGCAAATGTGTTCCTTTTCGTTAATTTAAATTCCTGTGAAAAGTACAGCTATTAAGAACAGGTTATGCACAGGTTTTTAAGCATTACAAGGAAAAAAGCAAAACACATATAATGGCAGATTACACAGAAGCCTCAACAACTAAACGCAATATTAAATTTTTCTGTATTTATTTGTCCACATTCTGCCTTCATTACAGCGTTTCTTTCTTTCTGGGAGACTTTCTTTCAGTTTTTAAAATAAATATGCAGGAATATTCTTCCAAACCTCTCAAATTCAGTCTTAGAAGTTGGCTACGTTTGCTATTTCTCACAAGCCAAGAAATCTTAACAGCGACATACATGGTTCACTTCACGCTTCGAGAAAAAAAAACTCACTAGAAGCTGGTATTTCCAATTTTAATTGAATCCTGACAAATTAAATTAAAAAAAATCATGAAATAAGATTCTAGTGCCAATTTCCTTCCTTTTTTATCTGCTTCCATTTCTCGTCAACGGCTTCTTGACTGCTACACATCCTTTCAGACTCATAGTGTCAAGTTGTCTTCTCACAGTGGAAGGATAGACAGAAACACAACAATCAAGAGTGAAGCTTGATTTTCTCCTCTCTCTCCAAGATGATCGCTTATGAAAGTTTATCTGATGGTGACGGGTTTGGTGGTCTACCAGGTCTTTTACGCTGGTTAGGAGTTCCATTTACACTGAATCTTTTAATCATTTGTTGTTGAGGCTTCTGTGTAATTTTCTGTTAAATTTACACAGAAGCCTCAACAACCTGACATTGAAAATTGATGAACTTAATGGCTGTTTGATTGGAGATTAAGTAGAGAAAAGTTTGGTCTCTGACTTTTGCATAGTACTGTGTATGTGAGAGTCACAAGTTCTAATTACGTTCTGACCACAAACGTTCTAATAGCTTTGTTTACATCATTGTAAACAGTACATTTTAAAGGTCTTTATCATTGCCCCTTTATGGGGCAAGAAAATTGCTCTGAGCTCTTGAAGCATCTAAAAACAGTTTTGTTAAAGTAAATCACAGAGTTGCTCTAAAGTAACTAACCTGTGTGCTGCACACTGAAGATTCTTCTCTATTCTCTGCTTCAGGTACTATAGTTATCATTTTTAGGGCTGTGGATTTTGGGAAATTGCCCATTTTGGTTTTTTTTTGGGACACATGCATCAACTTGTCTTCCAAATGTCTGCCTCTCCGACTCCACTTACAAAACTGACAGAGGAACATAGTTTATTTACTAATAGGATAATATTATTGAAGAATCCCGACAACAATTTCTAATAAATATTAAAATGTCTCACATTGAATGTGAACGTGTATTTTCTAGCACACCTCTGACTGTGTTTATGGATGAATGTCTCTCGTTTTTTTTAATCAACAGCACATTTTGTATTGTGAAGTAACAGTTAATTTATGTTTAAACAGTCATATGCAAAAGTTTGGGCACCCCTAGTGTTTTTTGTTATGTGCCTTTTAAGACTATATAATAATATATGTAAATAACATCTGTTCTGATTGGCTGCTTTATTGAAAAAGCAGTCCAGGCTGAAACACTCCTTATAACTTCAGTGTGAATGGGTGGAGTTAAACTGCTGTAGCTGAAAAGACATGTATATATGAAAATGAGTTGGTTCTCATGAAATCATAGAAACATTGGCTGTGTTTGGAGTTCAGTTTCCATATATGGACTGGAGAGTGAAAGGTTTGTTTGTACACTCACCATGTTTACATAGTACAACAATTATTATTATTAAAAAAAAAAGTGATCAAATTTGAGTTTTTTTCATGATATGGGCCCAGATCTTTCACATGTAGCCCAAAGTTGCTGGAAATGTTATTTCTGCTATAAGTTTTAAATACAATAACAATATAACATAATTAGTTGCACAGTTAGGCTACACTCAAAAAATGGTTCTTCTAGCGTTCTTCCTTGGTCGAGAAAATGGTTCTATATAGAACCGTAAACACTCAAAGAACCCTTTGCATGATTAAAGGGTTCTTTGCGTCATGAAAGGGTTCTTTCATAGAAAAAGTGCTTTAGAAGGTTCTATATGGAGCCTATAGAGCACCTAAAAGAGTTCTTCTATTGGTACAATATCAAGTTTGTAACAATAGAAGAATCCTTTTCAAAAAGGTTCTATATAGAACAGTTTATAGCATATGCATGCATATTTTCCATCTATCTAAAGAGCCCTTTCATGATGGAAAGAACCCTTTAATCATGCAAAGGGTTCATTAAGTGTTCATGGTTCTAGATAGAACCATTTTCTTTACTGAAGAACCGTTGAAGAACCATCTTTTTTAAGAGTGTATGTAACGATTTACTTTTTGTATTGACAAGTTAGTCCTAGTTTGAACATATGACATCTGTTTATGATGTCCATCACAAAACGTGAAAATGTAAAGAATGTTTTTCTTGAAAACAGGGCTGTACGCACAAATACTTTCCCTTCAGTTTAAATTAGAATATCTCCTCTTCAACTTACAAACATGGATGTGAAAGTCCTCATTGTTGAGAAACATGACACAGTGCATGTCTTTGTTTTTGGTAAACACAAAATAGCCCAGTGTTTTGTTCCTGGTTCTTGCCTGTATTCTCCACATAAGTAGGAAAGGAAGAATAATGTGACTCAGTATAGCAAGAATGGCCCTTACCACTTCTCTCATTGGATGGTAGGGCTGCACAGTACATCATTTGTTAACTGTGCGATATTGGCCTTTGTAATCCTGATTTCACAGAAAGTTACAGTATGCAAATGACCTCCCTTACCAATCACAGTTTTCTTATCTGTAGTGAGCATCCCACATGAATTTCTGTGGGTGTTTGGATAAATCGAGGCATTCACATGCTTTAACGAACATAGTTTTTGTCCAAGTAATACAGGCAGGCAATTTTATATTGCATTTCAAGGGTTCACCAGTTCATTTAAAGTATGTTGCTAAGAAGATGGCTATCACAATATGTGGCATTGTAATTTTGGTATGACTGCTGTAGTCTAGATTGTGCAGCCCCATAGGACAGTCCTGATATTGTGATTAAAATGGCACATTTATGCAAAAATCTATAAACCCAATTCCAAAAAGTTGGGACAGTATGTGGAACGCTAACAAAATTAGAAAGCAGTGATTCTGTTTGACTGCATTAAATTGAAAATGGTACAAAAACACAATATTCGATGTTTTATTAACTTTTATATTTTTTTGTGGATCTATGCTGTTTTCAAATTTGATGATTTGTCTGCAACACATTCCAAAAAAGTTGAGACAGGTGCATGTTTACTGCCGTGTAAATATAAAAGGTAAAAAGTAAAAATCACCCTTCCTTTTAACAGCACTTAATCGTTTGAGGAGTGAAGACACAAGTTGATCCAGTTTTGAAAGCAGACATTTTTGCTATTCATCTGTTTTACAAGGTCCTCCAGGAAGGCCAGTCTAGCACCCACACTTTCTTAGTACGCAGTCATCCTGTTGTAACACGTGCAGAACGTGGCATGGCATCGTCATGTTTTTCAGGTCATCTCTGAAAAAGACGTCGTCTGGAAGGCAGCGTATGTTGCTCCAAAATGTGTTCAGTGTTAATGGTGCCTTCACAGACGTGTAAGTTACCCACTAATACTGCCCCCCCCCCATACCATGACAGACCCTGGCCCTTTCATGCAAAGAACCATTTAAGTATGAAATGGTTCTACATAGAACTCAGGGTTCTACTTAGAACCATTGCCTTTACTAAAGAACCCTTGAAGAACTGCCATTTTTAAGAGTTTACTTGATAAGTGCAAGTTGAGTGTACGTTAGATTAGAAATGTCTGTCTCTGATGATCTGCCCAATATGATGGTGGCTATTAGGATGTAAAAAGTGAAAACTTTCTTAAAATTTGATAATCATTTCATTTATGTAATTTCAAACAAACATCACCTTTTTTGCTAAAGATAAACTGTCTCTGTTAGATAGCATTAGGTCCAGACAGGGAATTTAAACTGTATCCTATCACCACCACTGTGACCAGCTTTATTTCATTTGTAAATATACATCCATTCCTGCCATTCAGGCCTGCAACACATTCGAGAAGTTGAGACAAATTAGGGTTAGTAATGAGGTAAAATAATTAAATAATGATGTGATTTGAAACAGGAGGTTGTAATTATGATTTGGTACGAAGCAGCCTCCAGGAAAGGCCTAGTCCTTTAGTAGCAAAAGATGGGCCGAGGATCACCAGTGTGCTAACAAATGCGTGAGAAAATTGTTGAAATGTTTAAAAACATTGTTCCTCAAAGAAAGATAGAAAGAGATTTGGATATTTCACCCTCTATGGTGCATATTTCTGGAGGAATTTCAATGCAAGGGCAAGGGCACAAGCTGAATAACTGCGCTCTCCGATCCCTCAGCTGGCACTATAACCTTTGTCAAGCACTACAATATGTAGTTACATCCACAAATGCCAGTTTAAACTGCACTGTTCCAAAAGGAAAGCTTATGTATAACTGTGTCCTGAAGCATCGGTGTAGAGAATGTGTGGTGCGACAGTGAAGATCTCATACACTTGTATGCCACAAAAAGTTGTTTGCAGGAAGAGTGAGACAAAATTACACCCAAAAGACTTCAATTGGTGTCTTCAGTCCCTAGACATATTTTAAGTGTTGTGAAAAGGAATGGCAAGATTACAAAGTGGTAAATGCTTTGCTCTCCTAACCTTTTTTGAAATATGTTGCAAGAATCAAAATTGAAATGTGTTTGTTTTGAAAATAAGTAGAATATATAAACCACAGCTTTCTGTTGTTATTTGTATTTTAGGTTTGTAATTTATGCAGCATTCCCTTTAACCTAAATATAGTCAGTCAACCAAGACATGTCTGGTGTCCAAAGTTTTAGCTGTGCAAACTATGTACTTTTTTCCATTTTTACAAAAAACAGTGTGCCACATGGTCTAGAAACCACATAAACAAGTTTGCACCATGCTATATTCTATTACTTGTTAGCTACATTAGCCTCATAGCTCTGGTGCAAAAACTAAAGAAGCAAACTTCACATGTTAAACGTGCCTCGGCTGATTGACTTGTGGTACAGGTAAGACTGGACTTAAATTTGATTACTTGCTAAGCCATTGCTTTAACCACAAAATGCATATAAGGAAATACCTGTGGAACATAATGAACATAGTGTCTCCACTATGACTGAGAACAAGTCGCCACCCATCCGGAATTTAAGTGGTCTGTCCAGGAAAAGATTATTCTGTTCCTGCATACAAAATGTCACACAAGCATTTTCATTTGTTAGCATTTCTTATGTTAGTTGAAACTGTTTAAACTGCTTCCTTTTATCCAGGGAAAACATTTGTATATAAAGGAGTTTGATTGATTTCATTTAGCCTCTTTGTAGGAGCAGTTGTTGAAATGTGTATTATTGGTGGGTTCTATGAGTGATGCCACAAGAACCACTTTTGGTTTGGTTCTCTAAAGTACCATGTTTATTTTCTACAAGATATTTATGAGTGTAAAGAACCGTCACATATCGTAAAGATTCTTTACCAGTTTCTTCCTAGAACCTTTACATTTTGTGGAGGTGCTTTAAATTTTAGAAAAGTTCTTCAAACTCACAAAATCGTTGTCTAAAGAACCATCCATTGAAAGGTTCTTTGGGGAACCAAAAGTATTTTTCCATGGCATCATGGAAAGAACCCTTTCTTGCACTTCTATTTTTAGTGCAGCAATACAACGCAGTAGTTTAAGAAAATTTGGTTCTACAGCTGAACTGCCATCTATCTCCATTGGATGCTATTGCGAGCACAGCTACTCATTCATTGAGTTTAGCAAAATATCAAGCCGCTGATCAAGTGTGCAGGAATTTTACAGGGCTGAGGTGGCAACCCAAGTAAAACTTTACAATAACCACTATGACTGGAAAACCTTTTTGCACACACAAAAGAAAAAAAAAAAGTTTACCTCCCTTATAGATTAAATGTTTTTTCTAAATTTCTCCATAATTTCATCATTGAGATGTAAAACAGTTGTTCAGAGTGGTTTTATGTTAAATGTTTCATTATGGAGAAACTGACAGACTCTCTTTCCTTTACAGTGGTGGTGATTAGAACCAGGGGTCACGATGACTAACGCAAATATAAACATTTTATCCACTATCTAGAATGACAAGTGAATCTACACATCTTCAGGCTTTTTATGTGTAATGTTGATGATGATAAAATAGTAAATCTGAAATTTAAGCTTTCTTTGGGGACTATTTTGCATCATAGCACACTCTGTGCTGTTTTGAAAAATACATTTTAAGCCACAATCTTATCTCGAGACTGTCATAATACAATGTCTCAGACATCAGGCGGCATATTTGTAACCATTTCATGTTGTAGCATTATGTGAGGGAGACAAACTCTTCAGACATCTGGTTCCTATCACCACCACTGTGACCAATTCTGATTTGGTTTC